AAAAAAACTCTCCAACAAAGTCTTAAAGAGATGATCCGATATAGATGTGAAAAAATTACTCATCACTTCTTGAATGTGGCTGCAACATGAAGTCTACCTTGCTTGAATATAAGGAACGTGTTCTGTGCAGAAAGAGAGCAGACAATTCTCACAAGACAAATTTGGCAATCGGCCTGTGCAGACTGCATTCTACACAAGAGTCTGGACAGAGAAGACCACTCACAGCTGCAACATCAACACTGTTACACAATGTGGCTGCTCCATTGCATGTTGTGTGTGGGAGAAGTCCACTTCTACATTAAAAGTAATAAAGGGTGATCCAAGTTCTCATTTTACAACTGTAATACAGAGGGGAAGTGAAATATCTGTCCTGTAAAATACAGCCTGTAAACATGTTAGGGCTACTTGAGCATTTCCATTTTATGCTGCTTTATACTTCCATTCCGCTACAATGTGTAGGCAAATATTTTACTTTTTACTCCATTACTCCATTTATCTGATAACTTTAGTTTAAGTTTAATAACTTTAGTTACTTATAAATCAACTACTAAATTATGATATATTATTACAGATTAAGAGAGCAGTGTAAAGTAATTCAAAGTCATTCCATCTTTATTAGCTACAACATTAAAGTGATGAGTACATTAATGCATCAATCATTACAATGCAGTAAAATAATATTTATTAATAATATGAAATGAGACACTTTCACTTTTGGTACTTTAAGTGAGACTACAAAGTGGTGACAGACAGCATGCATGAACACCCAGCACACTTCAGGTTAAGTTATTTTCTCCACTGAAAATGATGCATTTTGACCAAAATCAGTGAATAAAGTTATAAAGTTGTGTTTCTGTACAGTAATCAATGAGCCCCAGCGCCCAGAAACACTCCGGCGTCAACCATTTCCCGACCTAATTCTTGTCTCATTTGTGGTCTGACAGTTACTTTATTAAAATTCAGTACTTGATATCAGCATTTTACAAGCTAATGTAGCTGTCATATGTACTTTGTGATGTGTGACGTAGTGCCTTATAGAATTACACACTCGTCGTTCTGACCAGTGAGTAGGAATGAAAGAGGCACCGCTCTCCCCATTACAAGGCAGTTTACCATCAAAATGATTTTAAGCTGTTATTTTAAAAGGTAAAATAGTTTTATATTGTTGCCTTAAGTGAACAGTAGAAAGTATATATGTGGTTTTTCAGCATTAAAACCTGACGGGCTTAATAATGGCTATTAAGATGGTATTTTCCTACCACATCTGGAGGCATGTGTGCATGCCACTGAGGCTCAGCTTAGTAGTCTTGTTGTAAATCAGCCACTTAACAGAATGACACAGCCTAAGTTTCCTGGTGGGAAAGATTTCCAACTTTGTGGTCTAACTTCTGTACTGAATATTTCCACAACACACATCCTCTTCCTATTTGTTGATTGCTTGAATGACTTGACTAAGTACCCTAAGCCAATACTGGGATGCAAGTGATTTAACACAAATCTAACAGATAGTTAGATTTGTTACAACCATAGAAACAATAGATTTTTCCAAAATCACAAACCACTGTAAGTAATACAGTAAATAGTAGTGAGTTTGTATTTTGAATGAATGGTCAGTGTTGGTGTTATCACCCTTGGCTCAGTATGTTATTCACTTCACACTAAGCAAAACACTAGACTGTCTTTAGTATTTACTTTGCACCACTTCTTAAAGGAATGAAGAGTTATGTGCAAGTGGGACGGAAATGAATAATTCACAAAGAGCACTTGTGAGGGTTAAATTATGCGCATTTCAAGAAATCAACTGCTGTACACGCATGAAGAACAAAGTCATGGATTGTACAAAAAGCCAACAAATCACCATATGAATGTGTAGACATTCTTTCATGTGTGGCTACACCAGTTGCTACACTGCTTCAAGTTGGTCTAACATTTGAGATCTCTGAGATGAAGAATTAGAGTGTGGACACAAGCCAGAGGGGAGCAAAACTAGTTACAACTTGACCACATAACAGACAGACATACAGACAGATAGACAGAGGGAGAGGTCTCTGTGCAGGCATGTCACATAGGTAGTCTCAGGTTACTACCCTAAAGGACACATCGCCAAACACTGAAGCCATTTTGCTTGATGCTAGCTCCACAGCATGGTTGTTTTCTTCCTATGGATCCCCACCACAAACAATGTATCCAGGCTGCTGTTTGAGTCATGCATAGGTTCTATGTTCTTTAACCAGAGGACACCTTTGACAGGATGAACCTTACCTCTGCCAGGTTAACTCATGCTTTGCATAACTTTCAGGCCATCCACTGAAAAAACTAATTCCCAATATCACAAACCAAACATAAGTGAATCCAAATTACATTAATCCACTCAAAAACAACCGTGTCTTCTGAGAATCAAACAGTGACTATGAAGTTTTTTGGGATATATTTTGACAAAACAATGACTGGATGGATCAATAAGGGGAAAAGTGAATTAACATTAAAAAAAAAAAAAGTAAAAAGAAAAGATCAAAATAAAGTACAGTTTGCCAAAACATATTTTTTGGCAGCTAAAAAGTAGGATTATGCTATTCAAAATGTTGTGGCTTCTGCAAATATATACCTCTCTGATAATTGTTGAAAATTATGGAATTTGGTCTTTGTCTTGATGCCTACCTCTGGTAGAAGTCAGGAGCTTTGTGTGGGATGTCAACGTGGGGACAGAAGCAATGCATTTAACCAAATTATATGACTGGAACGCATATGGGTGGACAGGCTCAAAAGCTAGATTTGGGATAGCATCACTACAAGTGGTGCCACACAACTACAGTTTTTAAAACAGGTAATTGCTCTGCTTACATTTCACTGAAGGCAAACTTAGATCACTGAAAAATCTTGTAGTTGTTAACCGTTTTGTGCTTATATATATATATATATA